GCTACGTAGCTGACATATCAGCGATCAGAAGATGACAACGAAAGAATGGACTGACTTGCCCGCCGTGCTTGCTGTGCTCTGTGTGGTTCGGTGTTATTACACTCGCGAATAGTCATTTTACGTGACATATTTGTGGTGGAGCTGCTGGCTCTTCCCTGTACCCATCACGAAGCTCCACTTCGGACGTATCATCACGGGTCCAACCATGTCACAGGTTCAAGGAACATCGTCTTCACCACCCGCCTCTTCTGTGACTCCTACCTACGTTGTCGTATACCTCCTGCTCGTGATCCTGGCATATTTCCAGGATATATAGATCGCTTTGACGTTAGATATATATGGGGGGTTTAACGTCCCAAAACCACGATATGATTATGAGAGACGCCGTAGTGGAGGGCTCCGGAAATTTCGACCACCTGGGGTCCTTTAACGTGCACCCAAATCTTAGCACACGGGCCTACATCATTTCAGACCGCATGGGAAATGCAGCCGCAGCAGCCGGGATTCGATCTCGCGACCTGTGGGTCAGCAGCCGAGTACTTTAGCTACTGGACCACCATGGCGGGGCACGCTTTGACGTTGACAAGTGCCTTAACGTGTACGAACAGATCAGCGCCGGCTATAGGTGGGCCCGACACTCATGCTCGCCAACGTGTTTCTTTACCTTGATGGCCCACTGCAGATGTGGTTCCTGTAGGTTATTCGAACACGTTACTGAAATGTCAAGCTCACAAGGCTAAACCAAATTTCCTCTACGTAGAATATATAGTGTGACATTTACTGCGTTTGTTGTGGTTCGAGACGCACGAAGTCGACATTGCCAGCTGGGACACTTTCAAGGAGACGATCCGTGACCTTTTCGGCGACACTGCTGCACGGCAGACGACTGCACTAAATCAGTCGGCTACTCGGGTATAGGCGTCTACCGAATCGGTAGACGTCTCACGGTTACCCAGTTCTGACGAAGCCATTTTCGAAGTATGATTGGATCAGACCTTTCGCCTGATCAGGCCGATGCTCTCTGTCAGGTTTCGGACTCGATCACGGTGACATTTTTGGTATCCGTGGTCATCCCTTGGGCCAGACTAATATTGTCAAGCACCTAATTAACAATGGTGACTCTGCGCTTATCCACTGTCGGCCTTGCCGCGTGTCCGCATCAGAACGAGCAGTGATTCAAAAGGAAGTGGCCAAAATGCCAACGAAAGACACCATCGAGCCATCGTCGAGCCCTTGGGCCTTCCCAGTGGTCTTGGTAAAGAAGAAAAGCGGCTCCTGGCGTTTCTGCGCTAGTTATCGGCACCTCAAAAAAATTACGAAAAAAAAAACGTGTACCCTCTTCTCCGTATTGACGACGCACTTGACTGTCTGCATGGCGCCACCTTCTTTTCATCTCCCGACCTCCGATCTGGCTACTGGCAAATTGCTGTAGACGAAATGGATCGTGAGACAACTGCATTCGTTACCCCCTGACGGCATTTACCAATTCAAGGTCATGCCGTTTGGCCTCTGCAATGCCCCGGCAACCTTCGAGAGAATGACAGATACGCTACTTCAAGGATTTAAATGGGCGACGTGCTTGTGCTACTTGGATGACGTGATAACTTCTCACCCACCTTCGCCACACACCTTGAACGCCTTTCTACCATTCTATAATATTCCGCTCTGTCCATGATGTTCTCAGTTTCGTGGGCCTCTGCTCCTACTTTCGGCGGTTCGTGAAAACTTTGCGGCACTCGCACGGCCACTTACCGACCTTCTCAAACAAGATGCCCCATTTCATTGGGGCCCTCTTCAAACTGACGCCTTCTCTCAACTAATTACCACTCTCACGACAACCCTATTCTTGCGCATTTCGACCCCGATGCTCCTACAGAAGCGCGCACAGACACGTGTAGTCACGGCATTGGTGCAGTTTTGGCGCAAACTCAGCGGGGCAACGACCGTGCAATTGCGTATGCAAGTCGTCTCCTTTCGAAATCTCAACGCAAATACAGAGAAATTTCATTCATTGTTTGCTGTACACCTATGACTTCTTCGCCAGTTGAACACAACTTATGCGGATACGCGTTCAACGAATGATTTTGTACTATGTGCTAGCGTGTTTTTTATGTACGTCACTAACAAGACAAAACAAACCACGACCACTTGCTTGCCTTCGGCATAGCACGCTATACTTAGGATTAGGAGACCTCACATTTAAGCCTGACTGCGAAAACTCCCGTAGCTACCATGCAACCGCGGATCATTTCATGTCTACATTTTTGGCATCACGTCTGAATAGAACCAACGCACTTTCAACAAAACAAAACAACAACGACGACGACGACAATGGTTTTGCGTGATAAAACTATATACCGCGTGAGGCTCGCCGTATTCAGTGTAGCACTCTCCCAATTACGACCACCTGTGGTTCTTAGCGCCTACATCTAAGAACGCAGGCCTCTATCATTTCCACGCCATCGAAATGCAACTGTCGAGATCGGGATGCGATCCTTATCTGCGGGTCAGCAGCCTCGTGCACATCAATCACCACTGTGCCATTGACATCAAAACCGATTCCTTTACAACTGTAATGGGCAGGCCTGGTTGGTACACTACTGGAATGGTCATGACGTATCTGTCATTCTTACCTTGTGTCACGCGTCTTAAGCACTGTTCCGTGCCACCCCATCCCTACAATAAACGCTAGTGACCATCGGCCGTATGCACAAAGTGTGCACCACTAAATATGCTTTCAAAAGACAAAATGTATACGTTGACAAAAAATAGTTGTACAAGAAAAGTACATTTGTATTTCAATACTACTTCATCAAAAGCACAGGCAACCGGCGCGCTTTAGTTTTGCCGTTTAGCTGCCGCTGAGAGAGTTGAAAACGATGCAGGCGCCAATGACGCAAAAGCTAAATACAACAAAAAGCGCGCCGATCACATATAGATGCGCCCGCAAAACACAAGCATTGGTTTGCATCATTTATTTTCGCTGAGGGCGGCCATAATTATAAGATATATGTTCGCAATATCAGTTGTACAGGAATACTACATATGTATCCAAAATATCAACACGTTCACCTCTTTCCGCACACCTCGTGATCGCTTTACTCGAGCAGACAGAACATCGCTGCTTTACCAGTATTCAAACCTTCGCGACTTCCCGCCGACTGAAAATCGTTTACTTTCAGTTTTTCTTTTTCTTTTTTTAAGCGAGCCAGTGGGCGGCGACCGCAGGCGAGTGAAAGCACACCGTCTCTCTTTTATTCGCTAAAATCTCGCAAGCTATGCTTTTAAGTTTTCGTTGAATCCCGTGCGGTGGCGCTGCAAATAAATGCGCTTGCTGTCAAGTTTTTTTCTCCTTTACTTCATATCTCGCGTAATGTTTTGTAGCAATATGTAGAAACTGAAGGCATATTTAAAAAAAAAGCCAAACAATACAGTTGTACACGTGAAATTAAAAAAAAAATCTATGGTCACAGCGGTGATTCGAACCTGGGTCTTTTTAGTGGGATGCGAGCATTCTACCCCTCGACCACTTCGGCGGAGCTGCGCACGGCTCTTAAAACGACGACAGGTCACAGACTACCGATCGCAGCGCCACTAGCGGATTTGACCCCGTTTGGGCCTCACTTTTAATGCATTGGTGCTGCGGCCGGTCCGGGCACTCCCCTTGTTCTAGTACACTCTAGTTGTACCGGCTTCGACACTGGCAAGAAACAACGCAAACCTTACTTGAATTTATTTTTTTTTTTTTTTGCAGTCTGGGCCAGTTTGGTAACCTAGGGATAATTACAGGCGCAAACCAAGATTTAGCAAGGCAAAAAAAAACTGAAGAAGCGAGCAGCGCGAATGATTAGCGAGCTACCCACTACTTGCAGAAAAAAAAAATGCATCTGTTAATTGATGATGATAGTACTACCAGCGCCATCTCGCCTCGCGGTAATGCAGTTCAGTACGCCGCCGCTACGTGTTTGCATGTTATTTTGATAGAACAGCCCAAAGGTACGGTTTCCGTTCTCTAAACTGGTAGGTGTTTTGTGCTTGACCTTCGTCTAGCGGGTCGTCAGATGCGCGTTCGCAGGCGATGCGTAAATGTCATTCCCCTTCCACACGTGCAACTCTCGCAGGAAGCACGCAACGCGGCCGCTGACGACGTGGCGCTTGTCCATGCGCGTGTGTGAAACCGTTGCGCGTGCGTCTGTCGCCAACCGCCGGCAGATAGCGCGTGACAGCCTCAGCGTATCGACGGAGACCCACAGGTGCTAGCAAGGCGCCTCGTTCTTAATTAAAAATCTCCGGCGTCCGACCGCGATCCAACAGTGTCTTCTAGTGATCCGCTGAGTTACTTTTGAAGTGATGAAAGCGGTTATAAATTCATAGGCCTAACATTCAAGGCAAACGAGAGCGCCACACGAGACATTTCATGACAATTTCAGAATAGCACACCGCGAGCCCTTGCGGTGCGGCGTCTGCCACTGCGCATGCGTCGAAACGCGAGCCGGCGTTCGCGTTTGCGACCCGCGCGCAGCAAGTCCGAAATAGCGTGCGGCGATCGCGGCCTGCATGACGCCCGCAAAGCTGGATTCGAGGCTACGGCGTCACTGCGATCGTGCGTTGCGGTTTGCAGCAGGACAAACGCTATTCTAAAACTCATATCGCGCTCGCAACGCCAGCGGCGCTTGCAAACGGTATTCTAAGAATAATAATGACGTCGCGGGTCGACGTCGACACGCGTCATTAAAATTGCATTAATGCTGACGCGCGCGCGACGTGTCCATGTAGGTATAGGGGGGCCACCTAGCAGGCGAAGGAACGACAACCTCTTCGTCGGCGTCAATTACGCGCGCGCGTAATTTCGCGTGTCTTAGCGGTGCGCCACGCCTCGGTGCGGCGATTGACACACTTGCACGTGAGTAGCACAGTCGCGATCAAGGCACGCTTTCTTTGCTTTTTTTATTCGCCATTGCGTGACAGGCCGCGTTCAAGAAACAAAAAAGAGGACTCACCGGATTCCCACAGCAACGCGAGGCACAACGCCGTCACGAAAGCGCCGGTCTCCATAGTTGTGCGTGAAACTTGGCCGCCTCGGCACCGCCACCACCTGCTCGTAGCGGTAATCACCGGCACCGCGTTTCGACGGGCCTCGTCATCTACGATGTTCCACCGCGCGGTCAGCGCCCAGTGCCCGATATGTGACACCGGCACTGCTTCGTCAGCGGCGGCGGGTGGGGACGATACGGCAAAACGCAAAGCGCCAGCGAAGTGAGCAAGCCAGACCTCAGAACACTTTATACTGCCAGGCCACAGAACACCTACCGGCCAGGCAGACTCCGAGAGGGAGCGACTGCTGCGCGGGGCCCCTTGCCACTCCGCCTCCTTTACGCGAAAACAGGTACGGTCGGCAGTTGCTGCCAACCAGCGGAGCCACTTCTTCCCTCTCTGGAGTGAGAAAATTCCCTAGATTTCCGTTATATTTTCACGGAGAGCGGAGTTTTGAAGGCTAATGTGTTTGTCCGTGGAAAACGATTTCCAAATTCACTTTTATGATATAATGGTGCATTCGTTTGAAAATATTCACTAAAATCACCATGCTGAAGGTGAAAAACTTTCGTAGTACAAATTGAAAAACTAACTTTTTATCCCATGAAATCACTAAAGTAAGCGGTAATGACAAAAGGGGGGAGGGGGAGGATACATAGTGTCGCAGTATTTTATAAAAATTACCAAGAAAGGAGCATTGCGTAGAGGCCGAAGAAGGGTGAAATTATGAAAATAATGTTTAGGAACACTGCTAGCTGTTCAATGCAAAACTCGGAAATGATACAGTGCACTTGTAATAGCATGCAAGTTAAATAATAATAATAATAATAATAATAATAATAATAACCAGAGCGAGCATATAAAGCGCGTACGTGAAATGTTCCAGCAAACATGCTTAAAAACCTAATATATTCCGTTATTTTACAATCTCTGTTATTCTGTTATTATTTTAAAATTCTGTTATTTTGCAGCTCTCTAGGAGAAAATGCTTGGTGGTGTTGATATAAAATATGAAGTGATGCAGGCTTGCATACCTTATAAGCAATGTCTTGAAAAGCGTACTCTCAAGCTTTGTCATATCTGATACAGGATATTGTGACAAAAAATAGTTTAACCATGAAAACATATTACGCCGTGTGGCAGTTAAGCCCTCGCAACCTGCTGAATGGATACGAAAAGATATGTTTATTAGAAATATTGGCTGCCATATATTCGTTTCAAATAAATCCTTGCAGTCTTCTACCAGCCACTTTCTCTTCCAACTTTTTTTTTTTCAGCTCTGCAAATAACCGCATGCATGCAGCCTACTGCTCTGGCCGAGCTTTTCACAGAAACCTTGGTGACCTTGGCGGAGCAGCTCACTAGCAACGTGACAGCGTTCGCGAAGAAGGGAAACCGATAAAAAAACATCAACAAACCAAAGAAATAACGCAGCGGGTGAAATGCAAGAAAATGGGAGTTTGGTGTAAAGGAAAACACACACACACACACACACACACACACACACACATATATATATATATATATATATATATATATATATATATATATATATATATATATATATATATATATATATATATATATATATATATATATATATATATATATATATATATACTTGGCGGGCTCAAGAGAGAGCACTTTTTCTTTGGTTCGAACCGGGATTCAGGCAATCGACGTCGAACACGGATGGCACATAATGAACCGCAATGAAGTTGGGGAGAGGAGAGCGCTGACACAGCGTTGGGGACGGAGACCGGCCCTATCTCCCGCTTGCACAGCGCTTTTGGGTGAGCGTAGAGGGGGTGTAAAATAAAAAAAATGTGGAAGAAGGAACAAAAAAGAGGTTGTGGGTGGGAGGTCCCTACGTCGATCTGCTTGCTTCACGTGGACGCGAAATATTTTCCTAGATGTTGACAAATTTTCTTTTTCGCCTAAGTACAACAAAAATCCCCTAGATCCAAGAAAATTTCCCTAGAGTTGGCAGACGGTCGGTCAGAGTGTACTAGAAGTGTTGAGTGGCGTGACCACGCCTCGCTGCCTGATCCCTTCCGCGTTGCCCGTAGCAGCAGCGGCGCTGCAGTTGAACGGTACTGAAAGAGCTGCTTTCCGCGTGCAGAAACTGCTATGCGCTTCGGCTCCTCCGTTGCGCTTTCTTGATGCAGATTTCTTCGTACCTACCCATCATTCATGCCTAGCACATGATGCCATAGCCCTTGAAGTATGACACATGAATCTACTGAATTTGAGCTCCGTAAAAGCGTGAGAGATTGAAAAACATTCAGAAAGGGCGTGTCTTATACTGATTTATTCTGTCTGAACTCTTTCTTCGTTGGTTAGGCGTCTACCATATTCAGCATAACTGAACTGATTTATTGGAAGTTAGCTTCACTCAGAAAGCTGTGAGATAATTTAACTTTTTAGGGTATACTGTAATATTTACACGCATTCACAGCGACCACCAATTGCCAAAGTATTAGTCGTGTTTCTGCACCCCCCCCCCCCCCCGAAAAAAATCTGGGTGCTAGCTTTGCGCCGAAGGTTTACAGTTGGCGAAGCTGAATATAGTGCGTCTCTGTTCAAATGCGCACTGTCAATTTCACCCTGTCGACAGTATAACGTCCTAAAACTAGTTCAAGTCTAACGTTGTCATACGAGAAATGCACCGCCTAAAAATAGTAGCTGTGCTAAAGGGCATTGCATGGATATTGTTAAAGGGGGAGCGACGTGTGACTTTAATGCGTGCACTTTATATATATATATATATATATATATATATATATATATATATATATATATATATATATATATATATATATATATATATATATATATATATATATATATATATATATATATATATATATATATATATTGATGAGATCTAACAGACAATAATGCCAAGGAAGGTATAGGGGAAGGTATTAGGCCATTTGTAATGTAAATGAGAAGAAAGAAAAGTGGGTGAAAAGATAACTTGCCGTAGACAGGATCCGAACCTGTGACCTTCGAATAACGCGTTCGATGCTCTACCACTGTCGTGGCTCTTGAGATACATCGACGACTGCTACACTCTTAGCCACCTCGATTTGATGTCTGACTGAACTGACCGACCGACCGACCGACCAACTGGACTGGACTGGACTGACTGATCGCGCTTGTCGTTGTCTCAGTGTAGTCGGAAAATGCAAAGCATTGACCAAGTACTAGCGGTAGCGACATCGACGACTGCTACACTCTTAGCCGCCTCTATTTTAAGCCTCCTCTATTTCATGACTGACTGAACTGACTGGCTGACTGTGACTGACTGTCTGTGACTGACTGTCTGTGACTGACAGCTGTCGCGCTTGTCGTTGTCAGCCGGTAGGGACAGCCGGAAGGGACAGTCAGTCACAGTCAGTTCAGTCAGTCGTGAAATAGAGGCGGCTAAGAGTGTAGCATTTGTCGACGTCACTACCGCTACCATGTGTGTATCTCCTAACCTGAGTAGTATGCCTTTGTTCCCAGGCCATCGGTACCTGAGTCCCGGGAATCCACTGCACAACGGAGACACGGTGGACGAGGACGGCGGCATAGCCAAGTCGCACCACGAAGCCTACGAGCGAGCCACAAGTCACGAAGACGTCTTTGCGGCTGACCAGGCATCTGCAGCTCTCTTCTTAAAATACTTTAGACGCACTGGTAACTGGCACTCTGCATTAGGTGCAGTCGGTCTGGGCACAAAGAATATTGTAGAACAATACATTTCGGGCCACATCCTCTACGGAATGCCAGGAGATAGACGGAAACGTGCACATAACGGGTGATCAGATACAGCAGACGCAAAGCGATACCAGTTTGACTCAAGCACCGGCAACGCCGAAATGTCGTCGCAGATTCCATCGGACGCTCCCGTCTGTCCACGCGGAGCACGAATTGGGGGTGATGGTGAAAATTCCGCAGAACTCGTTCAGCAGATCTTGCGCATACCTCATGACCCCGGAGTGGTCACAGTCTTCCGTAACAGCAAAATACTCACCACATGGGCCTATGCAATGCTGAAGACGAATTTAGTGTATGACACCGAGAAAGTGTTTCCTGATGTTCAAACTAGCTGCTCGCGCTTGCCAGTGAACCGGCCGTATCTTTACATTCCTCACGGCACCTACATTAACTTACCATCTCACACAAGAGCTGTGAGTTGCACTGTCAAGGTTACTCCTCATGGCCTACGCACCCCTTGGTTGACTGGCTTTTTGGTTGTCCAGCCTGTCAACTCTGACATGCATGCTAGTTTAGGGTCTTAGCTCCGTCGGATTGAACCACTCCTTTAATACAGGCATGTGCCGCGTTAAGAAAGACAAGACAAACAGCGCGATGAAACCGCAGTCTTACACTCCATTTCAAGAGAAGGATCATGCCGATCTGGCTAAGAGCTACTGAGGTCTTAAAATCACACCGGGAAACGAGGAGCAAGATGGTGACGACGAAAAGAGCATACCTGCGTGCATGGGCATGCCGCGACGCAACTTTGCCTACGACTTTATTCACATTGACAAGGCTAGTCCCCGCTTGACCAAGTTTGTCAACCAGTTTCATTCAAAGGTCACGTGGGCACACCCATAGTCAACTATGAGTCCCAGTTCGGAGGTGACGCGTGGCTAAAGATGGGACCTACTTACAACGCGGAGAATGAGTTTCTAACTCGAACACAGCTAAGCCTGCCTACTGACGTTGTATCCTAGACTACCAGCAACCCAGTAGCGTAGCCCGGGGGCAAGGCTCAAATCCCCCCCCCCTCCTTTGCGCCACTTACCAACTTTTTTTTGTCGCTTCGCGCTTACATGATTTAGAAATTAAGCAGTGCAACTATCACAAATGATTCCTGGGTGCTTTTGCAGTAAATAATGTCTGCATGCGAAAAAAAAAAAACGTGTCGCAGTCTTTGCCAAGGCTTTGACACTTCTTTTAATTTAAAAAAAGCTGCGTATAATACAGAAGCAGGTTCCAAAGTGAAAACTGTCAGGGGGACCTCTTGTTAGAACAAGTACAAATAACGTACAGAAAGATTGACAACTGAGAAACCGTAACAAACTATTTTAATATAAAAAGTAGCACTAATTTAAATATTTATCAAGGATATACATACATAGTGAACATACACACATAAATATAAATATAGTTAGACCAATACATATATAAATGCGCAAATACGATCTGGTGGTGCGTGTGGTTAGTGAAAATTGTTTGAGTGGACGCTGGAAA